GACCTGATATATATAGTGTGTATATCATGTGACCCTAGGTATAGTGTGTATATCATGTGACCCTATGTATATAGTGTGTACATCATGTGGACCTGGTGTATATAGTGTGTACATATCATGTGGACCTGGTTTATATGGTGTAAACGTATATCATGTGGACCTGATGTATATGGTGTTATAGCATGTGGACCTGATGTCTATGGTGAGTATATCACGTGGGCCCTATGTATATGATGTGTATATCATGTGGACCTGATTTATATAGTGTGTATATCATGTGACCCTATGTATAGTGTGTATATCATGTGACCCTATGTATATAGTGTGTACATCATGTGACCTATGTATATAGTGTGTATATCATGTGACCCTATGTATATAGTGTGTACATCATGTGACCTATGTATATAGTGTGTATATCATGTGACCCTATGTATATAATGTGTATATCATGTGACCCTATGTATAGTGTGTATATCATGTGACCCTATGTATATAGTGTACATATATAGTGTGTGTATCATTTGGACATGTGAATATGGTGAGTATATCATGGGGACCCTATGTCTATTGTGAGTATATCATGTGGACCCTATGTATATGGTGAGTATATCATGTAGACCCTATGTATATGATGTTATAGCATGTGGACCTGAGTATATAGTGTGTGAATCATGTGTACCTGATGTATATGGTGAGTATATCATGTGGACCCTATGTATATGGTGTGCTTAGCATGTGGACCTGATGTATATGGTGAGTTTATCATGGGGACCCTATGTCTATTGTGAGTATATCATGTGGACCCTATGTATATAGTGAGTATATCATGTGGACCCTATGTATATGGTGTTATAGCATGTGGACCTGAGTATATAGTGTGTGAATCATGTGTACCTGATGTATATGGTGAGTATATCATGTGGACCCTATGTATATGGTGTGCTTAGCATGTGGACCTGATGTATATGGTGAGTTTATCATGGGGACCCTATGTCTATTGTGAGTATATCATGTGGACCCTATGTATATAGTGAGTATATCATGTGGACCCTATGTATATGGTGTTATAGCATGTGGACCTGAGTATATAGTGTGTGAATCATGTGTACCTGATGTATATGGTGAGTATATCATGTGGACCCTATGTATATGGTGTGCTTAGCATGTGGACCTGATGTATATGGTGAGTTTATCATGGGGACCCTATGTCTATTGTGAGTATATCATGTGGACCCTATGTATATAGTGAGTATATCATGTGGACCCTATGTATATGGTGTTATAGCATGTGGACCTGAGTATATAGTGTGTGAATCATGTGTACCTGATGTATATGGTGAGTATATCATGTGGACCCTATGTATATGGTGTGCTTAGCATGTGGACCTGATGTATATGGTGAGTATATCATGTGGACCCTATGTATATGGTGAGTATATCATGTGGACCTGAGTATATAGTGTGTGAATCATGTGTACCTGATGTATATGGTGAGTATATCATGTGGACCCTATGTATATGGTGTGCTTAGCATGTGGACCTGATGTATATGGTGAGTATATCATGTGGACCCTATGTATATGGTGAGTATATCATGTGGACCTGAGTATATAGTGTGTGAATCATGTGTACCTGATGTATATGGTGAGTATATCATGTGGACCCTATGTATATGGTGTGCATAGCATGTAGACCTGATGTATATAGTGAGTATATTATCTGGACCTGTTGCATATGGTGTGCATATCATGTGGACCTGATGTATATGGTGAGTATATCATGTGACCCTATGTATAGTGTGTATATCATGTGACCCTATGTATAGTGTGTATATCATGTGACCCTATGTAAATAGTGTGTATATTATGTGACCCTATGTATAGTGTGTATATCATGTGACCCTATGTATATAGTGTGTATATCATGTGACCCTATGTATATGGTGTGTATATCATGTGACCATATGTATAGTGTGTATATTATGTGACCCTATGTATAATGTGTATATCATGTGACCCTATCTATAGTGTGTATATCATGTGACCCTATGTATAGTGTGTATATCATGTGACCCTATATATATAGTGTGTATATCATGTGACCCTATGTATAGTGTGTATATCATGTGACCCTATGTATATAGTGTGTACATCATGTGACCCTATGTATATAGTGTGTATATTATGTGACCCTATGTATAGTGTGTATATCATGTGACCCTATGTATAGTGTGTATATCATGTGACCCTATGCATAGTGTGTATATCATGTGACCCTATGTATATAGTGTGTATATTATGTGACCCTATGTATAGTGTGTATATCATGTGACCCTATGTATATAGTGTGTATATCATGTGACCCTATGTATAGTGTGTATATCATGTGACCCTATGTATATAGTGTGTATATTATGTGACCATATGTATAGTGTGTATATTATGTGACCCTATGTATATAGTGTGTATATCATGTGGACCCTATGTATAGTGTGTATATTATGTGACCCTATGTTTATAGTGTGTATATCATGTGACCCTATGTATAGTGTGTATATTATGTTACCCTATGTTTATAGTGTGTATATCACGTGACCCTATGTATAGTGTGTATATCATGTGACCCTATGTATATAGTGTGTATATTATGTGACCCTATGTATAGTGTGTATATTATGTGACCCTATGTATATAGTGTGTATATCATGTGACCCTATGTATAGTGTGTATATTATGTGACCCTATGTTTATAGTGTGTATATCACGTGACCCTATGTATAGTGTGTATATTATGTGACCCTATGTATAGTTTGTATATCAAGTGACCCTATGTATAGTGTATATAATTTGTGACCCTATGTATAGTGTGTATATCATGTGACCCTATGTATATAGTGTGTATATCATGTGACCCTATGTATAGTGTATATAATTTGTGACCCTATGTATAGTGTGTATATCATGTGACCCTATGTATATAGTGTGTATATCATGTGACCCTATGTATAGTGTATATCATGTGACCCTATGTATATTGTGTATATTATGTGACCCTATGTATAGTGTGTATATCATGTGACCCTATGTATATAGTGTGTATATGACGTGACCCTATGTATATAGTGTGTATATCCTGTGACCCTATGTATAGTGTGCACATCATGTGACCCTATGTATATAGTGTGTATATTATGTGACCCTATGTATATAGTGTGTATATCATGTGACCCTATGTATAGTGTGTATATCATGTGACCCTATGCATATAGTGTGTATATCATGTGACCCTATGTATAGTGTGTATATCATGTGACCCTATGTATATAGTGTGTACATCATGTGACCCTATGTATAGTGTGTATATTATGTGACCCTATGTATAGTGTGTATATCATGTGACCCTATGTATAGTGTGTATATCATGTGACCCTATGGATAGTGTGTATATCATCTGACCCTATGTATAGTGTGTTTATCATGTGACCCTATGTATATTCAGTGTATATCATGTGACCCTATCTATAGTGTGTATATCATGTGACCCTATGTATAGTGTGTTTATCATGTGACCCTATGTATACTCAGTGTATATCATGTGACCCTTTTTTTAGTGTGTATATCATGTGACCCTATGGATAGTGTGTATATCATGTGACCCTATGTATATTCAGTGTATATCATGTGACCCTATCTATAGTGTGTATATCATGTGACCCTATCTATAGTGTGTATATCATGTGACCCTATCTATAGTGTGCATATCATGTGACCCTATGTATAGTGTGTTTATCATGTGACCCTATGTATATTCAGTGTATATCATGTGACCCTATCTATAGTGTGTATATCATGTGACCCTATGTATAGTGTGTATATCATGTGACCCTATGTATATAGTGTGTATATCATGTGACCCTATGGATAGTGTGTATATCATGTGACCCTATGTATATAGTGAGTATATCATGTGACCCTATGTATATAGTGTGTATATCATGTCACCCTATGTATAGTGTGTATATCATGTCACCCTATGTATAGTGTGTATATCATGTGACCCTATGTATATTCAGTGTATATCATGTGACCCTATGGATAGTGTGTATATCATGTGACCCTATGTATAGTGTGTTTATGATGTGACCCTATGTATATTCAGTGTATATCATGTGACCCTATGGATAGTGTGTATATCATGTGACCCTATGTATAGTGTGTTTATCATGTGACCCTATGTATATTCAGTGTATATCATGTGACCCTATCTATAGTGTGTATATCATGTGACCCTATCTATAGTGTGTATATCATGTGACCCTATCTATAGTGTGTATATCATGTGACCCTATCTATAGTGTGTATATCATGTGACCCTATGTATAGTGTGTTTATCATGTGACCCTATGTATATTCAGTGTATATCATGTGACCCTATTTATATTCAGTGTATATCATGTGACCCTATGTATATTCAGTGTATATCATGTGACCCTATGTATAGTGTGTATATCATGTGACCCTATGTATAGTGTGTATATCATGTGACCCTATGTATATTCAGTGTATATCATGTGACCCTATCTATAGTATGTATATCATGTGGACCCTACGTATGCAGTGATGACCCAACCACCATCGTCAATTCCAGAGGAGAAGTCCATCATTTCCGTAACATGTAGGTGTTTGCAGCTCATGGAACAAAACCTTGAATTAAGTCGGAGGCCGACTAGGCTGCTTGAGGACCTGGCTGGCTTAGCGTCAGCTTGTACCCAACCCAGACAGCAGTGATTGATGTTCCTCAGTCTCTGCTCTGTCCACTAGCCATCCCCAACACATGGTATTAATAATGTAGCGCTATGAGCATTCAATAGCCGAATAGAATATAACACATTATAGATAGACTATTACATCCGATTATCTGTATCCAGAGTTGAGTAGTGGGGCCTATGTTGCAGATTGTCCCACTCTCACAATACCAAAACATAACAAACAAGTCAATGGCAATTAAAGAATTTTAATTTAAATATTAGCTGGTTCCTGCAGCATAGAACCATGGGAAGGAAGGGGCAATGATATCACATGGTTAGTACATGATTCGCATGAGGAGTTTAGATCAAGGGCGCTCTTAGTCTCGTCTACCATTTTGACACAGTGCAGATCAAGAACATAATGTCAAGAACAATTTTGACATAGTAAAGATCAGGAACAATGTCAAGAGCGGTTTTGACACTGAAGATCAAGAACGATGTCAAGAACAATTTTGACATAGTAAAGATCAGGAATAATGTCAAGAACGGTTTTGACACTGAAGATCAGGAACACCATGTCAAGAACAGTTGTGACACAGTAAAGATCAAGAACAATGTCAAGAACAATTTTGACATAGTAAAGATCAGGAATAAGGTCAAGAAAGGTTTTGACACTGAAGATCAGGAACACCATGTCAAGAACAGTTGTGACACAGTAAAGATCAAGAACAATGTCAAGAACAATTTTGACATAGTAAAGATCAGGAACAATGTCAAGAACGGTTTTGACACTGAAGATCAGGAACACCATGTCAGGAACAGCTGTGACATAGTAAAGATCAGGAACAATGTCAAGAACAATTTTGACATACCGAAGATCAAGAACACCATGTCAAAAATGGTTCTGACAGACATCAACACAGTGAGAACCCTGCTAATTGAAATCTTAACATCTATGTGCGATGCATAGGGAAGTCAATTTACAGTCTCACTTAACCATAACGAAACATTAACAAATAATTTTTTACTTTTTGTGTTTGGTAAATGTGGCACTTTGACAAATGGTGATGGTAATGTCCTAAGATAACACGAGCTTTAACAATTTTGTTATAGTCCTCTGTATTGCAACACATGCATAAATCAACAGTGACTAATCTTGCATTGGAAAAATAAACAACAACAAAACTACCCTTTGTAAGGACTCCAGTCGTGAGTCAGCTGTAAGTTCACTTCCCAAACTACAAAAACGGAATCTCACGAGACACCTGTATGGCCTGAGACGTAATAAATACTAGTGTAAGTGATAACGTGACACATGAGTTGTTGGTGGATGAATGAAGGTGATTATGTCAATGATCGCTGAACAAAGACTCAGTGTTAAACACAACAGACCTGTGGAATCAGCAAGATATGTAAATATCGGATAGAATGCCGACAATAATCTCGTATTCACTACAAGTGAACATCGACTATGAATATGCTCTCAGCTTTTGTCCAATCACCAGTTAAAATATCTAAATAATGTCCATATTTGGAAAATATCTCCTTTAAAATTATGCATAATATAAAATTTCTCCACATTGTTAAAAGTGGGTCTTTTCCATAACATTCAAATATACATAATACAACAGACTGACGTAAAATTGTGTATCATAAATGCTAAAATCTCAATTGGTGACTCAAATTTGCCTGCCAAACGAAACAATCTTTACAAGCGTGTCAAAATTAATAGGTGCAAGTTACGTGACTACCAAGAATTTCTTCTTTATGCAAGTATCAACTTTCAAGAAAGGATTCATACATATTATTCAAATAATAAATATATTTAAAATTCAAAATGCCTAATAAATTCTGATTAATATTCAAGAAGTGAAGTATTTAATGTAAAGTGAAGTGTTGAAAGTAAAGAGTGAAGTCTTGGTTGGACTGAGCTGAAACATTACCAAATGTTCTCGAGTGGAAAAAAACAACCTGTTTAGCATCAGCTGCCATTTTGTCAACAAGTTAGCAATTCGTTTTAAGGATGGGACATTTTAAAGAATTGTGAACTGCAAACAACCTGATAACGTAATAACTTAAATAAATAGGTTCTATGAACAACGCGTAAGCAATTATGGAAGAGGGACTACCCCTTCATACCCCCCCTCCCCCTCCCCGATCCTGTGTCCCCCTCCCCTGTCCCCTTGCGGTAATACACATATCACAGAACGGTTCTCAGACATAGCCTCGTTCAACTGCTGGGGATTTCACATGTTAAACATTAAGTCACAAGAGTCAGTGCTAACTCACTTCCTCAACAATCCAACAGATTTTGTGTTATAAAGTTAGTGGATTAGCAAGAAACATATAAAAAATTGTTATTTTAAATTTATGGTAACATTAAACATGATAAGAAAACACTATGCAATCATACACTTATTTGCATTTTTTCATTATGCTACACTGAATTTTCTAAGCTATTTTGAAAATTATGCTACCAAAACAACTGCTACGTTGTATTCGAAGTTGAAAGTCCAGATTTGAGAGAGTTCAATTTAGAACTGAGAATTTCTCATTCTCGGTAGACTAGATATGTCTAGTCGTCTCTAGAAGAGAATTGTCTGAGCGAAGATACTCGAACCAAACATTTGCAATGATATAGTTTGACGGAATTGAAGTAATGAAAATATCACAGTTGTCACACACGACCCACTTCAAGCTGCTTGCTAAATCTTTAAATTATTGGTTAAATCAAAATGCCCCAAATATGCAATAATCACATATACAAATGAACTATCCTTGTTGTGGGCAAAAAACACTCTCCTGTTGTGTACAGTTTGCCATTTTGACATATATCAGTTGTTTTAGTCAATATATCTACACAAGTCTTTGTCTCTATGCAACTGATCGAGGGAGCTCAGCAAGAGTTATCCCCCTTGTCCATAATGTTAATCACAATGAGTGTCAGAGTATGCCGCATGGGCTAGAAGGACAGGTAACACATTATGTGGAGATCATTCTGTCATCGTCGTCAACAACAGCATTGTCACTGTTAGCAGTTCGTCATGCCACTGGGGTTACATGGCACAGCCAAGCTCAATCAGATGTTCGTTGGTAGCTCGCCGCTTGTGCCATTGCCGTGCTCTTCCCTGAGTGAATTTCATGTGCAACTGAAAATAATGAGTTTATCGTCTAGCTTCTTCAAGTATCCATCAACGCACAGACATATTGGCCGGCCATGACCAAACGAGAGCCAGCATTTGTAGAGTTGTCATAATTGTTGTCAGCTCAAACACATCGCTACTATCATCTACACGGAGGCTTCATTTCTTATCAAGTCCTCGCTGATCTGAGTCTGATCCTTCTGGAATTACACGCATGACAACAGGGCTGCAACCTTGACCTTCATTCTCCTTGTCCTCTTCAAGGTCAAACTGGAACTTTGTGGTTTCCGACTCATCCTTGTCGTCTGTCTTATTGCTACAGAAACTGGAAGAGGGGGAGATTGGTATCATAGTCTGGTACCAGTCCCGGTTGTCTTCCAGCGTGTCCAGGATATCCTGGGCGTCCGGGAAGACCAGGTCTGCCCATGTTTCCCACAGCGGGTGGACAATATAGTCGATGAATCCAACCTAGAAAAACATGAAAGAGCAAGCATTAGACTAGTGAATCATCATGATCTCACCACACACTTTACAGAACTATTTACCCCATGAGTAGTTGCATGTAATACTTTGGTTTAACCTCACTTCGAACAGTATTCCAGTTATATCACGGCATGTCTGCTTAATATGGGAGGAAAGTCCAAAGTGATGCAGGTCCCAGACATTTACAACTTTGATGAAACCCACGAGCACAGGTAACCCACTGACTTTAAGAGTACCTTAAAATTTCAATGATAAATCCAGTTCGTAACCTAAACATTGTGACATTTTTCCTCTGTATTATTTCTGCTGTACCATGTACCCTGTTCATTGAATTGTATCATTACTGTAACTGGTAGCAGCCAGTCGGGAGTCATGAGTATGGAAGCCTTTTAGGGCCATTTGTTTTATTTTCTTTATGTCTTGAAATTTCAAATTTTCAAGATATAAAGTTGAAATTTCAAGTTAATATCTTGAAAATTCAACTTATTATCTTGAAGTTTTAAGTTATGTATCTTGAAATTTTAAGTTTTGTATCTTGAAATTTTAAGTTATGTATCTTGAAATTTAAACATAACATCTTGAAATTTCAAGTTAGCACCGTGAAATTTCAAGATACTAAGTTGAAATTTCAAGTAATAATCTTAAAATTTCAAGAAAAAAATAAACAAACAAATGGCCCTAAAAGGCTTCCGTACATGAGACATGACAAAGGATGTTCAGGGCTCCATTCCACAAAGCGATCGTAGCACAAAGACGATCGTACCTCCAATACTTTAACATAGACAACAGTCATAGAGCTACAATTGCTTTGTTGATTAGGGACCAGGAGGTTAGACTGAGTGGCTTAGGCATCGTGCCAAATGGCATCGACTGGTGCTCATACTTTCAGCCACTGGTTCAGATAATATAACTGGACACACAAAGTATTCACTTCTCACAATACATACCTGAGTCTTCTCTACTGTTGCAGTGTGTCGGTCACACATCGGACTAATATCAAGACCTTGATCGCGTTCACGATCTCCCTGTCTGAAAAACTCGTCCATAATGCGATCCACCCAGTTTTTGTATATATCAAGGGGCTTCGTTGGGTTGCTGAGGTCCGAACAATGAACCATGTTCTGGAGAACCTGAAGGTCAAAGGAAGGTCAAGATCAGGGCAAAGTAAAACATCCAACCTAACACAGAAACTACATTCGTGTGCATCGAACATTATTGATTTCAGTCAAAGGAACAAATGTGATTTCTTTTATTCAAGGATGACAATGATGAACGTACCTGAATTCTATCAGTATAGTTGTCCAGCAACAGCACTCCTGAGCCAGCAACTTTCTTCGTTTCTACCATGGTCTTCAGGTCAGCCAGAAGACTCATATGTTTTGACATGTCTGTCGCAAGCACCTGTGGAGGTCAAACATTCATAACCGTCAACACATCAAACATGTCTCTGGTCAATCTTATCAAGGAGTAATCTTGTTCTGTATAATCGAGCAGAATTGTTTATCATATTTGTGCCAGTATTTAATTATTATTATCAGTTGGAATATGCCAGTTTATACTAAAAGGGGTACTAGACAGGGCAAATTGTCCATCAAAAGACCAAACAAAACACTTGTGTTTTACATAAGGGTTGGCAAGGCGTTTTTGTTCCATGTAATATTTATTGCAAAATATTTAACACAGGTGGCTTTCTCACTTTTGTATGTAAAAATTCCTCCAGCAATGGTAATGTGTGGTAACATCTAAATTTTGTTCAAATGCTAAATATAATATTTCCGCTGGGTTGAAAAGATTTGGGTCACAAGTGAAACAGTGGATCGATCAGGTAACCTGAAACACAAGTATTTTCGGGGCCATAGATGTGATAGAACTTACAATTTATGGACGTCAACTTCTTTATTATGATGAACACAACGTTTTGGAATATACTTACTCCTACACAGGTGAATAAATGCTTTCAGGCAGAGGACATATATATGTAGATTAAGGACAACAAAAGTAATACGATAACAAAGGTGGAAACTTAACAAGGGGAGCCAACAGATAATTGGCGCTGATAGGTGATTATCAATGGACGAATGGAAGCCAACACTGAACTTATTGCTGATTGGCAATAGGCAATGGACAATGGGCAAATGGATGGCCAGGGGTAATTAGCATTGAAGGAGTAAGTATATACTCCGAAATGTGTTCCTCATAATAAAGAAGTTGACGTCCATCGATTCTCTTCCTTAGGTGTATCACTTCTAAATGCCTTTCACAAACTTGGTAGATGTAGGGTACCCACCATATCTATGACCATCTTGCGCAGCGTCTGTCTCTGTTTCTTGTTGAGGTTGAGAAAGATATCACAGTTCTCCTCCTGGAGGAGTTTGAACGCCACGGCCAGATGGTGGTTCTCCAACACAGACTCGTCATTGTACATCAGGGCCAGCTCCGAACCTGGGGACACAAGGCCACAGGTCACTCACTGTGTGGGGGGACACAAGGCCACAGGTCACTCACTGTGTGGGGGGACACAAGGCCACAGGTCACTCACTGTGTGGGGGGACACAAGGCCACAGGTCACTCACTGTGTGGGGGGACACAAGGCCACAGGTCACTCACTGTGTGGGGGGACACAAGGCCACAGGTCACTCACTGTGTGGGGGAGAGGTCACTCGCTGTGTGGGGGTATAGGTCACTCACTGTGTGGGGGATAGGTCACTCGCTGTGTGGGCACAGGTCACTCACTGTGTGGGGGATAGGTCACTCGCTGTGTGTGGGGGGAGAGGTCACTCGCTGTGTGAGGGATAGGTCACTCACTGTGTGTGGGGACAGGTCACTCGCTGTGTGCGGGGGACAGGTCACTCACTGTGTGGGGGTTAGGTCACTTGCTGTGTGGAGAGTTCACTCGCTGTGTGGGGGAGAGGTCACTCGCTGTGTGGGGGGACAGGTCACTTGCTGTGTGGGGGATAGGTCACTTGCTGTGTGGGGGAGAGGTCACTCGCTGTGTGGGGGAGAGGTCACTTGCTGTGTTGGGGAGAGGTCACTCGCTGTGTGGGGGAGAGGTCACTCGCTGTGTGTGGGGACAGGTCACTCACTGTGTGGGGGATAGGTCACTCGCTGTGTGTGGGGGGAGAGGTCACTCGCTGTGTGTGGGGACAGGTCACTTGCTGTGTGGGGGGAGAGGTCACTCGCTGTATGTGGGGACAGGTCACTCGCTGTGTGGGGGGAGAGGTCACTCGCTGTGTGTGGGGACAGGTCACTCACTGTGTGGGGGATAGGTCACTTGCTGTGTGGGGGAGAGGTCACTCGCTGTGTGGGGGTATAGGTCACTCGCTGTGTGTGGGGATAGGTCACTCACAGTATTTGTTAGGTGGGGTTGGGTAGGGCGGGGTGGGGTTTGGGTGTACAGGTCACTCTGTACATGGGGATGGAGAGAGAAGGATGCAGTTGGAAGGGACACGACATGGATTGACAACAATGGTCGATGTATGTTACGAGACACCAACCCTCCACACACAACATAAGCAATACATAAACTTTATTTTACAAATTAACTTCCTCAACATATTCTGATCTACGTCCAACTTGATATACCGGTACACATATGGGGGTGATCATCTACCATGCAATATGACCACCTCTAGCCTGAATGGCCATATGTTCATCAGCCACTCATCCCCCATGAATGAGTGGAGCAAGATCATCGAGATGAATGAACCAAGTCTACCCCATGTTCTGGGGGGAATTATCCAAGCAGTCAGTACCAGACCCCTACAGAGTTGCTTCCACATCATCAAAGCAGCCCAGATAGGCAACAGTTTATTTAGACCTCAAGCCAGGATTTACAAATTAGATGTAGGAGCTAGTTTATTCCCTAGCAGTCAAGTCGGTCTATGCTGCCTATATATCCCAGCTGACCCACAACTGCCAAGCCTGAGACTCACCAGCACTGCAGTGGGCCAAAACACTTGCATAGTTAGCTCTTTGTATTAAACAGCAACAAAAACAAACACATCCCAAGCTAAATGTGGAATCTTGGGGGAATGTTTCTCTTAGAATCTTTCAGCGCTGTGCCGATATCAGCTCTCATGACCTTGAAGCATGAGACCACCAGATGTCAGCAATTGCGTCATAAGCAGCATTCTGGGGTATACATCGTGGGATATATTTATGCAAATTTGGTATCGTCTGGTCTTTGATTGGTTGTATGATGCTATTCCTGTCGGTTAAGTGGTGGTAAGCTTATGATGACGTACACGACCCACGGGCTGCAATGCACCGACACATCACGCCAAACCTCGTACACTGACCCCCAAAAGGCAAATTCTCCAGGAATATATCAACTTCGTCACGTTTACAATAAGAGCACTTGTATGTGTATATCTAATCACATATTTCTACTCTTTTCCCATACAACTACATCCCAAGATATCCCTACTTATATATATATGATGATATCACTTTTAGTATATCACTACCAGGACATCATGATATATCCTTATATATCCCTTCTGGTATATCCACCCGTTAACATCTGGTTAGAGTTTGTCTTCAGCAACCCATGCTTGTCGTAAAAGGCAACTTTGCTTGTAAGACACGACAAACAGGATCGGTCAGTCTCACTGACTTGGACAAACAGGATCGGTCAGTCTCACTGACTTGGACAAACAGGATCGGTCAGGCTCACTGACTTGGACAAACAGGATTGGTCAGGCTCACTGACTTGGTTGATGCATGTCATCGTATCCCAACTGCATGGATCAATACTCATATCAATCACTGGATTGTCTGGTCCAGACATTATTTACAGACCGCTGTCATATAGCTGGAATATTGGTGAGCGTGGCATTAAACAACAAACAAACAACTCATATACCCTGATAAATTCCTGACATACTCCTACTCATACAGATGGGTATATCCCTTCTGGCATATAAACTCTCTATATATCTCTCCTGATATATCCTGATCAAATCTGATATATTCCAGATTGTATCTCATGATACATGTCCCTACTAGTACATCTACATTCTTGCTGACTGATTCTGGTACACAATACTTCTGATCCAGACTGATCCCCACATGTCTACAGATGGGAACATTGTCCACGTGACTGGCATGATGAAGGAAGGGACGTTGATGATGTACTCACTTGTGTTGACTAAGTACTGGTTGGTCACACCCGGATGGTCCACATCATGAATGGCACATGCATATATCGCTGACAGAATCTCCAGATCTGTGAACACATTCTGAAACAAAAACAACTTCATTAAACACAAGACAACAAAAATAAATTAGTCAACTACAAAATACCACCAAATTGACATGGTTTGGATTTTAAATTTTTATTTTCTACCTCTGACATCTCATACAGTCAGAGCTTTAGAACTTAACTGGCCATTTTAGGCATATCATTAAAAGTCCTATCGATATGTTTATGACCTTGAAAGATGATACTAGTATATCCTGATATATTCTCTATATCCTGGTCAAACTAATATGTCCTTTAATACTAGTAGTTCCTGATAAAACCATGCTGTATCCCTACTTAGCAACCATTGAAAACATCTGATCTAGAATACATATTGACAAAGCCTCCAACAGTAGTAATGCGTACTAGAAAGTGTTCCATCTACATCATCAAAACACTTCCTCACAATGTTTTCAAACAACCGACACATGAGAGAACGTTTTACTTTATCTGAGAAAAACATGATTTCATCACATGGTAAACATTCTCAGAACTAGCGCCATACTTCTACTTCTTGCGACAACATCCTTATCGACCATCAAATCCTTTGTCAAAATTCCTGGAAACAGTCCACCATATTGTCGTCTCTCATAGATATATTTCTGGGAAGCCTACGCTGACGCCAAGTCTTAGAACCATTCCACTCTTATCTCTAGCAGCCTGAATACTTTAACCTTTGCTGATCACAGACCCCCCTTTCATGACATGTTAGGGGATTTACGTTTCATCATTACTGATAAACAAGAACGCTCGGGGTTGAAATTCCATTCATTAGTCGATAGATCTTAATCATATAACTTCTTAGAATGTCAAATATATTCTAATCACATCCGCAAACATGAAAAAAACACCTCTGCAAAATCTAACAGTAAATTTGTACATTTTGTAACATTATATTTACAAATTCCTTTGAGGATGAGAAACGACTAATGAGCGTTTCAGAACTTATGTTATCAAAGAAAAACTATGTAGTGAATTTACCAGAAGTCAGGGGAGGTAAGAAAATCAATCTTTTAGGAGGTATGCCAAAAACTCCACTTTGTTCGTGAACCGAAACTGGTGTTGTAATCCTACCCACAGAACATTCTGGATGCAAACCAAACATGGGGTAGACAGGGGATCAGAGACCTGACCCTCCTTCTACTCACACCCGACCCTCCTTCTACTTTCACATGACCCTCCTTCTACTCTCACCAACCCTCCTTCTACTTTCACATGACCCTCCTTCTACTCTCACCAACCCTCCTTCTACTCACACCCGACCCTCCTTCTACTCACACCCGACCCTCCTTCTACTCTCACCAACCCTCCTTCTACTCACACCAACCCTCCTTCTACTCACACCCGACCCTCCTTCTACTTTCACATGACCCTCCTTCTACTCTCACCAACCCTCCTTCTACTCACACCCGACCCTCCTTCTACTTTCACATGACCCTCCTTCTACTCTCACCAACCCTCCTTCTACTCACACCCGACCCTCCTTCTACTCACACCCGACCCTCCTTCTACTCTCACCAACCCTCCTTCTACTCACACCCGACCCTCCTTCTACTTTCACATGACCCTCCTTCTACTCTCACCAACCCTCCTTCTACTCACACCCGACCCTCCTTCTACTCACACCCGACCCTCCTTCTACTCTCACCAACCCTCCTTCTACTCACACCCGACCCTCCTTCTACTTTCACATGACCCTCCTTCTACTCTCACCAACCCTCCTTCTACTCACACCCGACCCTCCTTCTACTTTCACATGACCCTCCTTCTACTCTCACCAACCCTCCTTCTACTCACACCCGACCCTCCTTCTACTTTCACATGACCCTCCTTCTACTCTCACCAACCCTCCTTCTACTCACACCCGACCCTCCTTCTACTCACACCCGACCCTCCTTCTACTCTCACCAACCCTCCTTCTACTCACACCCGACCCTCCTTCTACTTTCACATGACCCTCCTTCTACTCTCACCAACCCTCCTTCTACTCACACCCGACCCTCCTTCTACTTTCACATGACCCTCCTTCTACTCTCACCAACCCTCCTTCTACTCACACCCGACCCTCCTTCTACTTTCACATGACCCTCCTTCTACTCTCACCAACCCTCCTTCTACTCACACCCGACCCTCCTTCTACTTTCACCAACCCTCCTTCTACTCACACCCGACCCTCCTTCTACTTTCACATGACCCTCCTTCTACTCTCACCAACCCTCCTTCTACTCACACCCGACCCTCCTTCTACTTTCACATGACCCTCCTTCTACTCTCACCAACCCTCCTTCTACTCACACCCGACCCTCCTTCTACTTTCACATGACCCTCCTTCTACTCTCACCCCTACTGGTCTGTGTCCCACTCTCACCCAACAAATAATGCCCCCACTCTCAGCAATGTTTCCCTTCATTCTCCCTTAGTGGCACCACACTTGCGGAATATCTGCATGTAATTTAGGTACCACTGTCTCCCTCCAAGTCAACCTAGGCCCTCTCACTCCCACTAATCTCCTCCACAGATGCCGTGATGGCGGCGAGAGTGGGTGGGGTTAGTTACGAGGACATATGCTAGTCCTTATCACATCTGTTGGTGCTAATTGTGAGCAACAGTTGGGTGGAACAGGCATGAATGGACTTCCATGATAACAGCGAGGACAGTCTCAAGTACACTGTCTCACGGAGACGGAGACGGAGACGGAGACGGGGATAAGCCAGACAGTCAAAGGATGGGGAGTTTACTGACCGTCATTCATAACAATATGTTTACAATAAGTTTCAAGGAGATAGAAAAATCTCCTACGTCAGAACAAGAATACGGTAGTTGTCAGTAAACAACCACATTTGTAAACTGATATACGCATTTTTTACCTCGACCTCCCACTATCAGTATTGTGTGAGAGATGCTAACGTATCTGTGATTCTTGCTCAGTCTTTGAAGATGAAGATTACGATTTCATGTCTTGTAGTAAATATTAAGATGTAAGGCAATCCCTATTTAATTCACTTTCTTCAAAATATAAATATTTTGAAAGCCTTACCGTCATAGAAATATTTAGTTTACTGTTTTCAAATAATGAACCAGGCAACATAGAAATAAGCTGAGGGGAAACATTATTTTACAGCATTTTTTGATCAAATGATTTTCTCCCTCCATAGATCATTGAAAAGATTTATATTTTTTATTTCTGTACGGGTAGGAATCACCAAGCCTACTCCAAGCATCATAGCTAGGTCACTATTCATTAACATTGACTTCCCCCTGTCCGTATTAGTTATGCTTACTTCAAGGGCAGGTGCGCTGAGGAGCACGTGCGTGGACTGCGTGACGTCGGAGGCGTGGATGGAGTTGTGATAGGGCGTCTCTCGATGGTAATGCTCTTCCAAGTGCATCAAATATGTGACTAGAGTATGTGCAGGAATCTTGAATGTATTTAATAAATCTCTGTCCTGGAACAAAATAGTCACTGCATTAACTTTGATACACATATACAAGTTAGTCGTTCCAAAAGACACAAATATTTGAATATTTGTTATTGGAAATCTCGGCAATGGTTACAAGTATAATTTCCTTTCAAAGTGAAAATGTTAAAAAAGTTTATTTCTGTTTTCACACAAAATGAAATAATTTTGACAGATAGTATACATAGTTTATATGTTTAGTGAATCACACAATCCAACTACTTCAAAACAAAACAGAAACTAAAACCATTGTATTTGTTAGTAACAAATCCTCACTCTGTTTCCTACCTGAAATATCCTGTATGTGATGCTGGTAAGAGGTTTGTTGGTTGAGTATTCAGAAATTTTGAAAATATCAACTCCCCACTTGTCAATGTCATTCAAATACTGAAAATGAAACAAAAGTAAATTAGTTCAAGTTCGCTCAACAATGCATTATCCAATATCTATCTCAATAAATGCAGTTGTATTGATCCAACGTTCAAGGTCGTGTGAACACTGCTTAATATTGACAGCGGAACAGCTGTCATATTGCAGCATCGGCAGAATATTATGAACATAATAATCATCACAATCAAATATTCTTACATTCTTCATCTGCACAGCTGCAAATATATCAATTCTCACTTTCCAATACTCTACAGCTAACATATCTCACTTAATAGTTCTTGTGCTAGTGATATTGAACTTGACAGTCTGTCGGAAGCTGTACAAAAGCTTCTCAGACTGTATTGTTAAATCGATAACGTAACCTTCAAAAGCATATGATCAACAGTGCAAGCAAGTCAATTGGAGTACTTAACACTAAATAGTGACAAGCAGATATGACATAAACATGCACTTAAAAACTTCTAAACAATTTTACAAAATATTCACAGAGTATTCACAATTTAGATTGTAATGTTACTTTCTAGAAATATTTATCAACTGAATTTATCAGTTAATGGAGATTTTGTTTCCTTAAAAATGACATACAAGCAGTGCATGTTCTTCCCGCTCGCTGCATGTGGTTCACTTCCTTCCCCGAGAGAAGTGAATGACATCATAGTTCATGGATGACCACACTCCATGTCATTCACACCTCTGCCTAGCAACAGCACATTAGCAGTTTCAACACATTAAGGACCTGATTCATATTTAAACCTTACTTTCTCTGTCAGTCAATGTTTCTACACTGAACAACATAGCTTATGAACATGTAAAACACGCACATCACATAGGACACGTGGACACGCAGACACACGGAACACATAGAACACACGGAACTTATAGAACACACAGAACACAGAACACATAGAACCGAAGAACACACAGAACACACAGAACACAGAACACATAGAACACACGGAACACATAAAACACACAAAACATGCAGTACACACAGAACACAGAACACATAGAACACAGAACACATAGAACCGAAGAACACACAGAACACAGAACACATAGAACACACGGAACACATAAAACACACAAACCATGCAGTACACACAGAACACAGAACACATAGAACACGGAACACAGAACACATAGAACACAGAACACATAGAACACACGGAACACATAAAACACACAAAAGATGCAGTACACACAGAACACAGAACACACAGAACTGAAGAACACACAGAACACAGAACACATAGAACACAGAACACATAGAACTGAAGAACACACAGAACACAGAACACATAGAACCGAAGAACACATAGAACCGAAGAACACATAGAACACACAGAACACATAGAACTGAAGAACACACAGAACACAGAACACATAGAACTGAAGAACACACAGAACACACAGAACACATAGAACTGAAGAACACACAGAACACATAGAACACATGGAACACATAGAACCGAAGAACACATAGAACCGAAGAACACACAGAACACACAGAACACATAGAACTGAAGAACACACAGAACACAGAACACATAGAACTGAAGAACACACAGAACACAGAACACATAGAACTGAAGAACACACAGAACACAGAACACATAGAACTGAAGAACTCATAGAACCGAAGAACACACAGAACACACAGAACACACAGAACACATAGAACCGAAGAACACACAGAACACAGAACACATAGAACCGAAGAACACACAGAACACACAGAACACATAGAACCGAAGAACACACAGAACACAGAACACATAGAACCGAAGAACACACAGAACACACAGAACACATAGAACCGAAGAACACACAGAACACATAGAACACATGGAACACATAGAACTGAAGAACACACAGAACACAGAACACATAGAACTGAAGAACACACAGAACACAGAACACATAGAACTGAAGAACACACAGAACACATAGAACTGAAGAACACACAGAACACAGAACACATAGAACTGAAGAACTCATAGAACCGAAGAACACACAGAACACAGAACACATAGAACACGGAACACATAGAACTGAAGAACACACAGAACACAGAACACATAGAACCGAAGAACACACAGAACACAGAACACATAGAACTGAAGAACACACAGAACACAGAACACATAGAACATATAGAATGGAAATAAGCTAAAGAAACAGACAATACATAGAACCATTTGCCTTTTGGTCTCATCTCACGTATATATCGTAATTAGAACAAAATTAATTTATATTTCTGTTTTATGAACATCTTACTCTAAACATAAACAGATGACTAAATATGCTATTTCATTAAAAATAAATAAACTTTTTCAAACTTCCATAAGTATTTCAATCGAAACTGGTTGTTCTTTGGCATTGACATTTTATATTTTATCATGAAAATAAACCTCAGGCAAATAATCCTCATTTAAGCAAAGTTGAATCCTGAAATCTGTAAAACAATAAATTAAATGGATTTGATTTTTCGCAAAAAGACTTTCTTTATATGAACCATAACAAAAAACTTACTCGTCCTAGCTCTTCTTTATGAGGTGTATCTACTCCGTGTTTTGGCACAATTCCTGTAAAGCTATTGGCATGTTTAAGTTTCCGAACTCCTTGTATCTGGGACATAGGCCGATTTTTGTCGGGAATCTCCTTGGTGACTGTTTCCACTGTGTCGACTTTCAAGGTTGGGATGTCAACTTCCTGTTGTTTGTCTGAAATATAAATTGATCACTAAACTCTCGGAACAAAAAAATCATAATTCTTCTGGTAAAATTAGTCAACTAAACTTCACACAGAATATAAAAACAACATCCGCAACATTCTCTGGAAATGAAATCCTGTTCCCCATAATTTCATATTCCTCTCTAGCTTCATGTTTACATTGTTATGAAAACATGTGACTCACGTAATTTCCTGAGAATCTCAAACAAAAAATAACTGTTTAGCAAGAAAATGGATAAATCTCAAAAAAGCCGGCCTAAAGAATATTGTATTTTCAGACAACTGCAGATATGACCCAAATCCCAAATCTCACCTCCAATCACAATAAACCACTTGTCCAACATGATGATTCTATTCACCAGAGCAATTCACACCTGACCACTGATAGTAAAAATGTGCTGGACACTAAGCAGGTATAATAATCCCTCACGTTATCTATGACAGAATTCAGTGATGAAAACCTCCAGGGATCTGCTCATTCAGGTCAAAAAGCTTTAGGTGCCAATGTCCTCCATGGCCCATGTTGTCCCATCTCAACATGAGGCCCCAGTGTACGCTGTTTCCCTCCATGTGGCCTTTCTGTTTATACTGGCACAGCAGCAGCTCCTAATGGTCTCATTCTGCCTCCTCAGGTGCTCCTGCAGGACCTGGACTGAAACAGCAGGTGCCCTTGCTATGTACACAGTCTCAGTAGATGCCCTGTTGGATTCCTGAACTGAGCATAATGCAGGTAGCCAATCAGTGCCCACAGTGAGCAGGTCCCGTGGAGGTCCTGAGGAGGTCTTGGGCAGATGATCCTGGGACACTCACTGGACAAGCCTCCTGCTGTTCTGTGTCCACCCTAAGCTTGATATTAATAGCAACCTCAGGACAATTTTGACAGACCTTCAACACAGCAGGTAGCTCAGCTTGTGGGATGCTCAACTGAGAAGCAGCAATCATCCCCAAGGTGTCCAGTTCACGCGTCACCCACACCAAATCCTCTCAACTATTTGGTGAACAAGTTCCAACTGAGAACCAATTCATGGCTCCTTCGTCTTTGACCAGGCATTAACTAACGGAATCATTAGATAAACACCACATAGCAATAAAGGAACTTTTCCCCTTCAATTTACCTTCATGATAGAACAATTTCAGGTCCTCATGAACTTGAAAAAGGAGTCCAACACAAGTCTAGAATGATTTGGCAAGTCTAGATTGCCTCAGCTCAGAAATTAAGGATTTTCCTGGGATCCAGTTGGATTTTATTATTTTTATTTTGTAGATATATTAAATATATATATTTTAAATAAGATAACTTTATTTCTGGGACTAAATATCAGTCAAGGTATACATAATAGTTACACAGACAAACTTCTCCCAATCCCTTATTCTCAAATCAACTCATACAGAAAACAAGATCAGTCATATATCGCTGAAGGTTCATTAGCGACTCTGTGCGGAGGTATGATATACTATCAGTTAATCCCTGAAAAGCTCTACCGGGCACCGTTTAGCCCCATGTATACACGTTTAGCCCCATGTTTATACGTTTAGCACCATGTTTATACGTTTAGCACCATGTTTACACGATCAACCAACACAGAAACACAAAATAGGCGACACTAGGTGGTTAACACCACCAACTATGATCTCAAGTTGCTGCACAACAAATCATGACCATTAAGCTTGTTACAACGCCTTATGCCAAATTACAATATCATGAATGGCTGGTGATCTATGCCCACATAACAAGTGTTAATATCATTTGATGAATGAAAGCCGATGAGAATCAAATCACTTGTTTACACTACTGTCATTGATAGCTACGACAGATAAATGTTGCTGTCAATGGTCGGTGATCTATAGCAGATAACACAACTATCACAGGCGTGGAGACCAGGGCAGTCACTCAATATGCTACTCACGTTTGACCACAAGTATTATAGAGGGCCGGGCGAGTGGGACGACCCTGTATTACAGTAGTAAATATCTCTCTTTGATGTGGTCTATCTTAGACCCCCTTGTCCCTACACTCACTGGGATTCAATGACTGGAGGGTCACTGAGTTCACATCCATCAACGCAGGAAATGGCAGAAGTATTAAATATTATACCCAATGTAACAGATTTATTCCAAACAAATATCCTACTAGAATATATTCTGACTTTTTCCAGATTGGTATTATCCAAAGCATATTGTCACTTCAGAATAAAAGTTTGTTATTACCCAAACCAGTTTTTGACATAAGAATCCTAAACGTTGTGTTCCTCATAATATAGAAGTTGACACACATAAATTCTCTCCCTTATGTGTGTCACTTCTAAATGCTTTTCAAAGACTTGACAAGAATCTTGTTACCTACATTCATAGCACTTTCTCAATGACACTGTGAAAAAATTTCATCGCTGTGAGAAGTTTTTAACCAAAATAATTTTTAGACATAAGAATCTTGTTACCTACATCCATAGCACTTTCTCGATGACACTGTGAGAAAAAGTTCATCGCTGTGAGAAGTTTTTAACCAAAAGGATTTTTAGACATAAGAATCTTGTTACTTACATTCATAGCACTTTCTCGATGACACTGTGAGAAGAATTGTGTCGGTGTGAGGCGTCGTGATCATGTTTATGTTACTGCCGTTGCAGGGAACGCGACACGGTGAGTCCACAACCGAGAGAGAACACAACACAGGCATATCGCAACTACAAAAACTCAGCATCAAATTATTCCAAGAATATTGTTCCAGTGCAGGACCAGCTTTCACAACCTCAAATCTTCCTTCAGGTAGTAACCCTTCGTCAAGATATCCAGAAATCCAACACACATTGGTCTTAGAGGATGAACCTCTGTGTCACACACAAGCTCAAAGTAAACTGAATCATTTACACATACCACGCTAACCATATCTCCCGTATTTCCCTACTACGAGGGCTGCCTTCTGATTGGCCGACATCCGCATACTGGCTGCCAATCATTGGCTGAAGCAACCCTGGGCCTGTGTTAGTTTCTTGGCTTGAGTGACCAGCTAATGAGTTCCTCCTGTGAGTTTTCCTTTGACGTCACCAAGCTCTTGTACTGTCTCGTTAGTTCACAGCCCTGGCTGGGCTCGGCTGGCTTGCTGTAGGTGCCTCAACTCTCCAGCACCTGCTACAGCTCATATTGCCCGGTATATCAGTATATCAGTATATCAATACCACTAGGCCAGTGTATGCATGAATGCATATCCTTTATAATTAATTATCTGGTTATGTTGTAATTATTTAATACCTCAAGCTATTGAGAAACGTGTTAAATATCTAAGAACTATAATCATGAATTTGAAAATCAAAATTTTAAGTATTTCCATCCTGGTAATGCAATACTATATCCATCAATAATACACATCTCTTACAGTTGCATTATTTTGCAGTAGTTTTGATGCTATGAGCAGTAATTTGCTTCGTCTCTGATTTATGCAATTTATAGCAAAATGGAGCCAGTATTTAGCAGTGACAACAGCCCTTACAGTGTAGGCGGCATCTCGGGACTGGGTCAACTGATTGACTAGGTGGTGACACGCAAGCTATTCCTTACTCTGCACATACGGCAGCTGAATTACTAGCTGTGTACAATGGTTATACAGAAGTGTAGTTCTACCATGACAAATATTGTTTTATATGACATACACACTCAGGTTTAGACTAACATTTAGTCCCAGAAATATAGTTATCTTATTTAAAGCTATATGTACATAATAAAAAGTAAAATCCAAATGGAGCCCAGAACATTGCTAATTTAGAGCTGATGCAATCTAGACTTGAGTTGGAATCAATTGTGAGTTCATTCTCCAGTGTCTGGGAGTCAGGCTCAGGTTGAGAACCTCCGACTGTTTCTAGCAAACACCTGGTACAAATATCAATACACCAGTAACCCTAGACTACTTATCAACTCTAAATGACACAATGTGTCACATTGCACACTTTTATTGCCCTTCATGCTGAATAATTATACCTTGATCAAAAAAGTAAAACAACATTCATTCATTCATTCATTCATTCATTCATTCATTCATTCATTCATTCATTCATTCATTCATTCTTTGTCAAGACATCTAAACTAAACCCAGCTGTCTTATGTTACAAGATCTACATCACTTGGGGCTGTCCTCCCCTATACACACTGTGATACACCTGGACTACTGAATCAAAGCCACGCACTCATACTTGGCATACTTGTGGAGGTAGACATCTTATTCAGAGGGAATATTATGATGAGATGATATATGATAAATGATGATAAAAAAATAACATCAATGCAATATGTCCTTATTTGGAAGAACGTACATACTTTTTCCCCGCCGTGCACTGTCGAGCACATGGCATGCAGCATGGGCAACTAATGTCCAAACACCATCACAAATGGCAGGAGACATTTCCTTGTTTGCGTCACATGCAGATACTTCACTATGATTTAGGAACTGACTATTTAATATCAGGTTAGGAGGAAGGAGGCCAGGGAGATTTGTTTCAGTCAGTGTAATTGTTTTCTGAAAGGAACTGTCAAACAGTTGTCAGAGTGTCTAGCAAATCCAGCATATTCCAATTCTTTACTTTTAATGGCTCGGGGGTGGGGATTTCTTGAATACATTATTTCTTGTTTCCAACCCATCATATCAAATTGTTGTCCTCTCACAGATCTGTGATAAATGGTTGTCTCCTCTGGGATCTGTGATAAATGGTTGTCTCCTCAGGGATCTGTGATAAATGGTTGTCTCCTCAGGGATCTGTGATAAATGGTTGTCCTCTAACAGATCTGTGATAAATGGTTGTCCCCTCACAGATCTGTGATAAATGGTTGTCCTCTCAAAGATCTGTGATAAATGGTTGTCTCCTCAGGGATCTGTGATAAATGGTTGTCCTCTCACAGATCTGGGATAAATGGTTGTCCTCTCATGGATCTGTGATAAATGGTTGTCCTCTCACAGATCTGTGATAAATGGTTGTCCCCTCACAGATCTGTGATAAAGGGT